CATCGAGTCTGTGCTGGTCAAAAACCACCAAACTATTCTAATCCTGTGTTCCAGTGCTGCGTGAGAGTGAGGTGGGGGGGCAGGTTCAGTCGAAACTTTAAAACGGGGAAAGAGACGGTTATCCGATGAAGAAGGACGTGCCGGGTTATGGAGAGACAATGGGAGAATGACACTGAGTGAACTCCTCAGAGAGCCAGTATGCTGAACGGCATCCGTCTGTGCTATAACCGTGCTGTGATCAGTAAACACTCATTGACATCAGTGTGAAAATGATCAGACAATCTGTGTTTGTGATGTTGACTGAGGGGTATAAATATTGGCTACAACATCAGAGAGAAGTCCCCTGCTCTTATTAAAACTGAGGCTATGGAACCTTTCATATCCAACCAAGATGGCAGACCGAGCCTTGGTTTCAATTTCACGCAGACAGCGCTTCCAAGTCCCCGAGTGCAACACTGGAATGTTAGTCTTAAGATTTCATTCTCACACTACGCAGTGGGTGTAGGTCGGAGGGGAACTTGCAAATGGTGGTGTTCCCACGTATCTGCTGCCCTTGTCCTTCCAGATGGAATCTGTCATGATTTGGAAGGTCGGAGATAGCAAGAACTGCCGATGCTGGAGTCAGAGGTAACACAGTGTGGGGCTGGAGGAACACAGCAGGCCAGGCAGCATCAGAGGAGCAGGAAAGTTGACGCTTCTTCAGAAATGAATTGGAAGGTGCTGTCTCAGAAGCCATTGTGAGTTTCTGCACCCCATCTTGTAGATGGTACACACTGCTGCTACTGAGTGTCGGTGGTGGAGGGAGTGGATGCTTGTGGATATAGCTCTAATCAAGCAAAGATGGGCAAAGAAGTGGCAGATGGAATTCAACCCAGAAAAGTGTGAAGTGATTCATTTTGGAAGGTCAAATTTGAATGCAGAATACAGGGTTAATGGCAGGATTCTCGGCAGTGTGGAGGAACAGAGGGATCTTGGGGTCCACGTCCATAGATCCCTCAAACTTGTGACCCAAGTTGATAAGGTGGTAAAGAAGGCATATGGTGTGTTGGATTTCATTGGCAGGGGAATTGAGTTTAACAGCTGTGAGGTTATGCTGCAGCTCTATAAAACTCTGGTTAGACCACACTTGGAATATTGTGTTCAATTCTGGTCACCTCATTATAGGAAAGATGTGGAAGCTTCAGAGAGGGTGCAGAGGACATTTACCAGGATGCTGCCTGGACTGGAGAGCAGGTCTTATGAGGAAAGGTTGAGGGAGCTAGGGCTTTTTTCATTGGAGTGAAGAAGGGTGAGAGGTGACTTGATAGAGGTGTACAAGATGATGAGAGGCATAGATGGAGTGGATAGTCAGAGACTTTTTCCCAGGGCAGAAATGACTGTTACGAGGGGGCATAAGTTTAAGGTGATTGGAGGAAGGTACAGGGGAGATGTCAGAGGTAGGTTCTTCACACAGAGAGTGGTGGGCGTGCCAGCAGTGGTAGTGGAGTCAGATACTTTAGAGACTTTTAAGCAATTCTTGGATAGGCACACGGAGGATAGTAAAATGTAGGGTACGCAGGGGAGATTGATCTTAGTGGGATAATAGGTCGGCACAACATCGTGGGCCGAAGGGCCTGTACTGTTCGATGTTTTATGTTCAAGCGGGCTGCTTTGTTCTGGATAGTGTGAAGCTTCTTGACTGTTGTTGGGGCTGCACTCATCCAGGCAAGTGGGGAGTATTCCATCACACTCCTGACTTGTGCCTTATAGATGGCAGACAGGCTTTGAGGAGTCAGGAGATGAGTTAATCACTATAGGATTCCTGACCTCATAGACTCATAAGATCCCTACGACATGGAAGCAGGCCATTTGGCCCATCAAGTCCACACCAACCCTCCAAAGAGCATCCCACTGAGACCAACTCCCTCACCTTGTCCCTGCATTTCCCATGGCCAATCTACCTAACCTGCACACCTTTAGACTGTGGGAGGAAACCAGAGCACCTGGAGGAAACACACACAGACACAGGGAGAATGTGCAAACTCCACACAGACAGTCGCCTGAGGGGGGGAATCAAACCCGGGTCCCTGGTGCTGTGAGGCAGCAGTGCTAACCACTGAGCCACCGTGCCGACCAGTTCCTGCTGCCTCAGTATTTATACAGCTACTCCTGTTTTGCTTCTAGTCAATGGTCCTCCAGGAGGTGGGAGCTGTTGGCCTTCTACAAGTGGTAAAGTGAAGTGGCCCCCATCATGGGGGTGGTTAATCACTTGCAAGGCCAGCAGGATGAGGATAGTTCAAATTGGCCGCACGGGCCAAATCAAAGCACAGCACTCAACCTTATACTTGTAGACCTCTCATATTTCACTAAAATAAAATCAATGGGAACAACATTTCTTTTGCCCTGCAGTGAACACAACTAACTGCACACTGTTTGGCTCTGTCCAGCTAAAAGGCCAAAAATCCCATTTTGTTCTGGACAATTCAATGGTGAGTGCAGAAGGGCACATGCCAGGAGCGGCACCAGGCATATCTGAAGATAAGGTATCAACCTGGTGAAGCCACCGAACAGGACTACTTGCACACCAAACAGTGAAAGCAGCAAGTGATAGACAGAGCTGAGCGATCCCACGACCAATGGATCAGATCTAAGCTCTGCAGTCCTGCCACATCCAGTCATGAATGGTGGTGGACAATTAAACAACTCACTGGAGGAGGCTCCACAAATATCCCCATCCTCAACGATGGAAGAGCCCAGCACATCAGTGTAAAAGATAAGGCTGCAGTATTCGCAGCAACCTTCAGCCAGAAGTGCCGAGTGGATGATCCATCCCGGCCTCCTCCAGTGGTCCCCAGCATTACAGATACCAGTCTTCAGCCAATTCAATTCACTCCACATGATATCAAGAAACGTTTGGAGACACTGGATACTGCAAAGGCTGTGGGCCCTGACAACATTCCAGCAATAGTACTGAAGACTTGTGCTCCAGAACTTGCCGCACCCCTTGCCAAGCTGTTCCAGTACAGTTACAACACTGGTATCTACCCGACAATGTGGAAAATTGCCCGAGTATGTCCAGTACACAAAACGCAGGACAAATCCAACCTGGCCCATTATCGCAAACAAAAACAGAAATCACTGGCAAAGCTCAGCATGTCTGTAAGCATCTGTGCACCTGAATCTTAGAATCTTATTCTAAGTTAATGTGAATGGCGCCATGTGTGTACGGCAAAGGTACACACTTTTCAATGTACTTTTACGCTGAATACACATGACAATAAATGATTCAATTCAGATGCTGCCAGACCCGCTGAGCTTTTCCAGCAACTTCTGTTTTTGTTTCTGATTTTCAGCACCTGCAGTTTTTCTGGCCTACTCTCGATCATCCGTAATGTGCTGGAAGGTGTCAGCAACAGTGCTAGCAAGCAGCACCCGCTTGCAAATAGTCCCGGACTCAACAGTGTCCAGGATTGCAGTTTCCAAAGCACTACCGCACCTATTCCTACTCTCAACAGCAACTGTAAGTACAGGCCCACATACACAGATAGAGGGTCCTAAAGTGTCACAAATGGGTGCCTCAAAGAACATACCAAATTGTGGAGCAATGGCATATCATCTCAATTGCTCCATTATAAACACAGCTTTCACCAGAGCCTTCCTCCTGACATCTGAGACATAAACAGAGAGAAAGGTGCGAGCGCGTCCACATAGGTTCAGTGTAAAGCCTGCTTTCAATTATTCACCAATTTCCATTTGTCAATGGCTACCTTGAAGCCTTTAATACAGCTCATTATACCACTGACTAGCCCTTCCCCCATCCCCATCAGCTCCAGCAATGTAGCCTGGAATTATATTTTACCTCATTGTCACTGATTCTTACACACACACAGACACACACACACTCACACACTCACACTCACTCACACTCAAAAGCAGACACACTAACTCTCTCTCTCTCACACACACACGCGGTGACACACATACAGAGAGACAAGTAAAAACACACACACAGTGACACATGCACACAGTGTCAAATACATGTACGCAGACTAACACACATGGTGACAGACACACATGGTGACATACACGAACATACACAGAGAGAGACGCACATGCACAGAGGCAGACACACACACTGGCGTACACAGATAGACACTTATGCAATGGAGACAGACACACATAAATAAACACACACAGACCAGAGACAAATACACACAGACATACACGTACGCACAGAGACAAGTAGATAACTGAATTCATTTCTACTCTTTCCTAGTTAAAGAAGCTATACCTTGAGAATTCCTTATCTTCCTGATTAAAAATAAACTGCCGTGTAGTTACACAAGAAATGAAAACATACTTCAGTTTAATTTTGACAAAATTGAAGGCAACCTCTTTTGACTTGTGGACATATCTATGAAGGTTTAAGGTCCACTTACTTCCTTCACTAGCACAAACTGAATTTTTTTTATATCCAAATCAGATTGCAGTAGAATATTCAATAAAAACTATGGGAACAAATGTTTTTGTGACAGGAGAGGCCTGGTTTTTTCAGAATCTTTTAAACAACTTCAATGGATCTGCAATTCTTGGGGTTGGGCTGAAGACTGTCACATCAGGATTCTACTTTCAAAATAAAGTTTGATGGCAGAAATGGCCAAAGCCTACACCAGCCTCCTTTTGCTTCCTTAGTCAGTCTGACTTGTCTCTTTGCTACCTGCAAGACTCAGTTGGTGGGGTGGGACATGCACAGGGTGACGTGTTCGGGTATGTTCCCTCTCTCATACCTGAGCTGCCAAGACACATCAATATCAGCATTCACACTGGTACGTTAACGCAATAACTTTTATAGGAGCCTCAGGTCACTAGCACTTAGCAAACCAAACCTTTCAGCATTTGATTACCTAAACACATTCATGTATAAATAGCTTAAAGTTGACACATGATGGTAAAATACCGGTTGGAATTGTCGGGTATTTTAAAGACAATGGGATTCTGTGAGCCCATGCCCACTCACTTACCCAGAGGGGTAAGCTACAAGCCCAGTCTTCAGGTCACATGCAAGTCCGCTGCTTCCAGAGACTGTGATGCCCAGCACCTTCTCCAAGGTCACCTACAGGAAGATGAACACAAGCTGTTACCACAGGTTACCGAGAGTCGGAGGATTTGCCTTCAGTCAATGGGACATGGGCATCCAATCCATCGATCCCCAACCCTGATCCCCATGTGGCACTTAGAGGGCTGCACTTTGTATGGGGCATCTCACGCAGCTTGCCCATCTTACTTGTGCCGAAGAAGAGATCAACTGGAGAGAGAGAAAAAAATTAAATCACGGTGCGCTCACTTTGGATTGATGTTGGCAAGACTCTGTAAACACCAGCTCATGCCAATTTCCAATATCTTAACTCATACCCATTCACCTGTCTTCGCTGCATTGGCAGCCTGCCCACGGCTCACTGGATTTTAAAAATTTCACCGATGGATCAAGTCAGGCCAGGGCCTAGCCAGCTCCCTATCAGCTGTAAATCCCCCAGGACTCTGCAGCCTTCTTGCGCATCCCTGATTTCCATCACAGTGTTTTCAGTTGTCTCAGCCCTAACTCTAAAGAAATTCCTGCCCTAACACTCTCCACCTTGCGTTATGTTATGACACATTGCTATTCAGAACCATGTCAGCAGAAACATGAGAAAACATGCCCTAAAGGCATAACCACAGAGTGGCTGGTCATGTATCATTTCCAAAATTGATGAGTCAGAAGAAGGTACACACTATAGATAAAGGGGAACACGTGGATGTACCATACTTGGATTTCCCGAAGGCATTCGCTAATCTGTCACATAAAAGATTATTGTGGAAAATAAAGACTTAAGGCATAAGGAGTAACATATTGACGCGGATAGAATGTAGGCGAGTTAACAGGAAACAGACAGGAGGCATAAATGGGTATTTTTCTGATTAGCAAGATGTGCGGAGTGGTGCAGTACAGAGATCAATCTTGGATGAAGAAACCCTAAGATATGGAGATTACAGAGCTCTGAGCTGCAGAGGGATCTGGGTAGCCTGGTGCACGAGTCCCAAAAGGTTAGCATGCAGGTATGGCGAGTAGTTAAGAAAACAAGTGGAATGTCCTGATTTATTGTGAGGGGAATTGAATGCAAGAGTAGGGAGGACATATTTCAGTTATACAGGGCATTGGTGTGACTGTGAGGGGCATTGGATGCCTTACTTAAGAACGGATGTAAATGCATTGGTCAAAGTTCAAAGGTTTACCAAACTAATCCCTGGAATGGGCAGGTTGTGTGATGAGGAATGGAAGGACAGACTACACCTGTATCTGCTGGAGTTTAGAGCAGTAAAAGGCAACTTGGTTGAAATCTGCAAGATCTTAAGGGGTCTTGACAGCTGAACGAGGACGTTTCCTCTTGTAGGAAAATCTAGAACAACTTTAAACACAATTTAAAAGCAAAGGGCTACCCATTGATAATGAAGATCAAAAGAAAAACTTGCTCAGAGGGTCACGAATCTTTGTAACTCTGAGCAGCAGAGTCTTTGAATTTGATGTGAAGGCTAAGGAGTGAAAAGTTATCGGGGCTAAGTGGAATGGGGAGTTGAGTTTACAATCAGATCAGCCATGATCTTAAAGAATGCCAGAGCAGCATCGATGGGCCAAAAGGCATTCTCCGGCTCCTAATCTGTACGCTTCACATAAGACCTTCTCGCGAGAGACAAAGGGAACAAATCCTGCTCGCCACACATATTCCAACCAGACACATACCGCGCACAAGGAGAAAATGACCAGCCACCGTGCGACACGTAGTGAGAGCAGTATGTTTCACAAAATTAGGGTCTTGGGGGCTTTAGTCACATCGCCATTCAAAGGTGACCAATCCACTGAGGGTAATGAAAGCGGCTCACATGCAGGTTGAGTGGCGAGTAGGCCTCCTTTAGGAACAGCGTTGCTGGCAATAGCAGCTAGTACCGTCAACATGGCAAACACAGTTCACTGAGCTTGCACTCCCTGCTACACATCAGGGGGGAAGTGTAGCAATCTCACGGCACTGGGCAAGTGACACTCAATCAGCACGGCCCTCCGGGATCTTTTAGATGTGTCATTCACTAGTGGTGGCACGAGACAGAAGCTACATGGCCAGTACAATGCACTTCTTGCACAGAAAACTGTGCTATGTAGCCCAGACTTCAATCCCCTGCACCCCCAACAAACCCCCCTCCCAGCCCCCGCCCAAAACTACTCAGGCTCACACACATAACCTGGGCAGGCTGTCAAAACCGAGGAAACAGTTCATTGCCTTTGGGGGACAGTGGGAGATCACTGGAAAAGAGGGAAATGAACACAGGGCAACACGTCGCACGGGAAGCATTTTTTTAAAAAAAGTGCCATTGCACCGCAGTGTCTCATGCCAAAGTCAGTCTGTTCTGTAGTATCCTCATTGTCGAGATACAGGAAGTCTGGACTTGACCATTTCACTGACAGAGGGGGACATGGTGGCCCAGGTGAATGCCCTAAGGACACAGCTCCAAAATCCCCACCACAGCAGCTGGTGGAGTTTAAATTCAACTCATTAATAAACCTGCAGTTGAAAGCAAGGCATGGGAAGCACAAAACTATCACTGGTAATGTCTCTAGAGTAGTAATCCAAAACCTCAGGCTAATGGATCTGGTGGCATGGGGTAAAAATCCCACCGGGATAGGTAGCAAAATCTGAATTTAATAAAATATGGAATTAAAAGCTGGTTGATTGGTGGTCGTTGTCATAAACATCGATCTGGTTCACTCATGCCCTTTAGGGAAGGAAATCTTCCATCCTTACCTGGTCTGGTCTACATGGGACTCCAGACCTACAATGTGGTGGATTCTTAACTGCCCTCTGAAATGGCCAAGAAAGCCACTTGGTCCAAGGGCAGTTAGGGATGGGAAACAAAATGATGTCCTTTCCAGTGACACCCACTTTCCATGAAAGCGTTTTTTAAAAAAATGGATTGAGAAATGAAAACCTCAGCCATTGGTATTTAAAACAGACAAGTTATACATTTTCTGAAACATACACGATGTCCAATGAAACAATGTACCTTCATTTTATGGGTGTTATAAATTGACTGCACATTTAAGGATATTTTGGGACGATGGGCCATTCAGCCACGTGTATATATTTGTATCCTTTCACCGGATGTGAGCACGGAAGGTTTGGAGACAGTTTGCCAGAAAATGCAACTGATAGTACATCCAAACCATAAAGAGCTGACAAAATGCACAAGTCAGGAGTGTGATGGAATACTCCCCACTTGCCTGGATGAGTGCAGCTCCAACAATACTCAAGAATCTCGACACCATCCAGGACAGAGCAACCCGCTTGATTTGCACTATATCCACAAGCATCCATGCCCTCCACCACCAACGCACTGTGTACTATCTACAAGATGCACTGCAATTAATTACCAAACCTCCTTCAACAGCACAATCTAAAACTGCATCTAGAATGACAAATGCATGAGAACGCCACTGCCTGCAAGTTCCCCTCCAAACTACACACCGCCCTGACGTGGACTATTACCTGTACTCCTTCTGTGTTGCTGGGTCCAAATCCTGGAACTCCCTTCCTAACAAATTTGTAGACGTCCCCAAAACCCAAAGATCATGGACGTTCAAGAAGGCAACTCACCACCACCTTTTCCAGATAACCTAGGGATGGGTAACAAATGCTGACCCAGCCAATGACTCCCACGCCCTGTGAAGGAATTTAAAAAATACACATCCACACTCAGAACACCGGACACAATTTTCACGTGCACCAGGAACAATGGACCAACAACACAGTCTGTGTCTCGGTAAGGAATGACAAACTCTCAACCCAGTGTCTAAGTTCACCTAAGCTGCAAGTTAGCTCCAATATAATATTCCAATATAAGAGGGCGTTCAGCCTGTAGTGCTGCAGATAACATCACAGTGCCTCGTGCAAATCGGGTCAAATTAGCGAGAGGAATTGGATAAAACAGGAAGACAGGGATGTGCTATGGAGATGAGATTTCTTTCCTCTTTCAGGGGGTCGTGAATACGGAATGTTCTTCTCCAGACAGAGGTGGGGGCAGTGTCGTGGAATAACTTTAAGGCAGGGTCAGATTGATTCCTGACAGACAAGGCACTGGAAGGGGCGGGCAGGCAGGAATGTGGAGCTGAGGCCACAACCGGATGAGTTGTGATCTTATCAGATGGCGGAAGAGGCTCAAGGGGGCTGAATGGCCTATACCCACTCCTGTTTCACACGTTTCTTGCGTCGGGATTGGTGCCCCTCAGCACACCCAGCCCATGGGAGGATACTTCATTAGCGAGGGGCATTGACTGGGTACCTACCACAGGGAATTGGCACTGAGGTGAATAGCATAGATCCATCCTGTGGAGAGTGAGAAACGCACAAGACGGGAGGATGGAGCAGAAACATTTGTGGAAAGAAAAACCAAAAGAACTGCGGATGCTGTAAATCAGGAAAAAAAACAAAGTTGCTGGAAAAGCTCAGCAGGTCTGGCAGCATCTGTGGAGAAGAAAACAGAGTTAACGTTTCGGGTCTGGTGACCCTTCCTCAGAACCTTTGTGGAACCCTTTGTGGAAAGGGTCTGACGAAGAGGGAGATGTCTGTGGGAATCATGAACACAGGCATGAAGCAACAAGAATGGACAGTTCCTGTGCTGTAAACACTTTGTAAAATTGCTACTCGGCCATCCCTGGGACTGGAACTGAGCAGGCCCCCACTGTACTAATCCCGACCTTTATTATTG